TTAGCATACGCATATGTGTTTTCAGAATCAGTTTGCAGAAACCCTATCTTAAAGGGTTCAGGAAGTCTCTTCTCTATTGATATGCTGGGATTCGAACCACCTATCTTGTAAGATGATTTTAATAGGACTCTGCATGAGCATATGGGTCCACTCACACAGATCAACTTGCAGGACTGAGGCCTAAATTAGTTAAGGACTTGATGGAAGAATCACTTGGTGAAGTTTTATGATCTGTGTTATACAGAAAGTCAAATTAAATTATCATAATGGTCCATTTTGGTCTTAGAACTCTATAAATCAATGAGTTTCATAAACTATATGCATAAGTGCCCCAATCACTGAAAGGAGGACAAACTCCCTCAACAGGTAAGAAAAAGATAATCTCCATTTCTTTACAACACACAAAAAACAAAACAACAACAACAAAAAAACAGCTCCCAAGAACTAGCACCTTTGAAGCAAAACAGACGTTAATTCCCAAAAGCTATTCATTTCACATACATAACAAAACAAGAGAAATTATTTCCATTATATTATAAACTATAACTTAAGATAGGTCAAAAACAAAACCGTGTATCAGAAGACTCTCAAACTTGTGGAAAACTGGATCCAGCTGTACATCCAAACTTTTAGGCTGGCTCCCTATCTCTGGGCTGAACTGAAATTCTAAACACCCCTGGACTTTGAGGAGCTCAGATACAGATCTGAAATTTATAATTTAAGTCCATATCTAGCTATGACACAGAACATGTTTTGATTGGTGCTCAAATTAGAAAAACTTGTTGGCTCTTCATTGCTTTCCAGAGTAAAAATTTATTTTTTTGTCACCCATATCAGTAGAATATACACTCAGAGCATTTCTGATTCATAAGATGGGAGTCCTTTGGTATGTAACCATCTTTCAAAATACAACTGCGGTGTAAGCTGCTATTTGTGCTCAGATGGCGTGAGTGTTCTACGGACATGTTTTTCATATCTTCCTGACTCACTGGCTTACATTTAATCTTTATTTGACCAAGGCTTAAGAACTGCTCTCTAACCTTAAGATTGATTTTAGGAGCAATTCACAAGTCTCAATTAATAAGCAAATTTAGATCCATTATTCTGGATGTATAGTTTGGATTATTTTTTTCCAATGTGCATTACTTTGCACTTATCAGCGTTGAATTTCATCTGCCATTTTGTCACCCAGTTAAGTGAGATCCCTTTGTAATTCTTCACAGTCATCTTTGGCTTTAACTATCTTAAGTAATTTTTTATCATCTGCAAATTTTGCCACCTCACAGTTCACCCCTTTTTTCAGATCATTTATGAATACAATGAACAGCACTGGTCCCAGTACACATCCTTGGGGGACCCAGATACTTACCTCTCTTAATTGTGAAAACTGACTATTTACTCCTACCCCTCATGTCTTATCTTTTAATGAGGTATTGGTCCATGACAGAACCTTCCCTCTTATCTTAGGACTCCTTACTTTGCTTTGGTGAAGGACCTTGTTAAAGGCTTTCTGAAAGCCCAAGTGCACTATATTGAGTGCATCACCTTTGTCCACATACTTGCTGTCAACCTCAAAGAATTCTAACAGACTGGTGAGGCATGATTTCCCTTTACAAAGTCCCTGTTGATTCTTCCCCCATGTATCATGTTCATCTATGTGTCTGATAATTCTGTTGTTTGCTATAGTTTCAACTAATTTGCCAGGAACTGAAATTAGATTTACTGGCCTGTAATAATCATAGAATATCAGGGTTGGAAGGGACCTCAGGAGGTCATGTAGTCCAACCCCCTGCTCAAAGCAGGACCAATCCCCAATTAAATCATCCCAGCCACGGCTTTCTCAAGCCTGACCTTAAAAACTTCTAAGGAAGGAGATTCCACCACCTCCCTAGGTAACGCATTCCACTGTTTCACCACCCTCTGAGTGAAAAAGTTTTTCCTAATATCCAATCTAAATCTCCCCCACTGCAACTTGAGACCTTTACTCCTTGTTCTGTCATCTGCTACCACTGAGAACAGTCTAGAGCCATCCTCTTTGGAACCCCCTTTCAGGTAGTTGAAAGCAGCTATCAAATCCCCCCTCACTCTTCTCTTCCGTAGACTAAACATCCCCAGTTCCCTCAGCCTCTCCTCATAAGTCATGTGTTCCAGTCCCCTAATCATTTTTGTTGCCCTCCCCTGGACTCTCTCCAATTTTTCCACATCCTTCTTGTAGTGTGAGGCCCAAAACTGGACACAGTACTCCAGATGAGGCATCACCAGTGTCGAACAGAGGGGAACAATCACGTCCCTCAATCTGCTGGCAATGCCCCCTACTTATACAGCCCAAAATGCCATTGGCCTTCTTGGCAACAATGGCACACTGTTGACTTGTACCCAGCTTCTCGTCCACTGTAACCCCTAGGTCCTTTTCTGCAGAACTGCTGCCGAGCCATTCGGTCCCTAGTCTGTAGCGTGCATTGGATTCTTCCGTCGTAAGTGCAGGACTCTGTACTTGTCCTTGTTGAACCTCATCAGATTTCTTTTGCCCCAATCCCCCAATTTGTCTAGGGCCCTCTGTATCCTATCCCTACCCTCCAGCGTATCTACCTCTCCTCCCAGTTTACTGTCATCTGCAAATTTGCTGAGGTGCAATCCACACCATTCTCCAGATCATTTATGAAGATATTGAACAAAACCAGCCCCAGGACCGACCCTTGGGGCACTCCACTTGATACCGGCTGCCAACTAGACATGGAGCCATTGATCACTACCCGTTGAGCCTGACAATCTAGCCAGCTTTCTATCCACCTTATAGTCCATTCATCCAGCCCATATTTCCATAAAGTCAAGGAACAACATGTCCACTGCTTTCCCTTCATCCACAGAACCAGTTATCTCATCATAGAAGGCAATTAGATTAGTCAGGCATGACTTGCCCTTGGTGAATCCATGCTGACTGTTCCTGATCACTTTCCTCTCCTCTAAGTGCTTCAGAATTGATTCCTTGAGGACCTGCTCCATGATTTTTCCAGGGACTGAGGTGAGGCTGACTGGCCTGTAGTTCCCAGGATCCTCCTTCTTCCCATTTTTAAAGATGGGCACTACATTAGCCTTTTTCCAGTCGTCCGGGACTTCCCCCGATCGCCATGAGTTTTCAAAGATAATGGCCAATGGCTCTGCAATCACATCAGCCAACTCCTTTAGCACTCTCGGATGCAACACATCCGGCCCCATGGACTTGTGCACGTCCAGCTTTTTTTAAAATAGATTTAGTCATGTTATTTTCTAAATAATAGTCATGATTGCCTCTGGAGCCTTTTTTAAAAATAGGCATTACAGTATCTACCCTCTTGTCATCTGTTACAGAGGCTGATTTAAGTGATAGGTTACATACTGCAGTTAGTAGCTCTGCTATTTCACATTAGAGTTCCTTCAGAACTGTAGGGTGAATACCATCTGATCTTGGTGATTCATAATTGTTTAATTTATCAATTTGTTCCAAAACTTGCTCTACTGACACCTCAAATCAGGGACAGGTTCTCAGATTTGTCACCTAAAAAGAATGGTTAGCATGTGAGAATCTCCCCAATCTCTGCAGTGAAGATGGATGCAAAGAATTCATTTAGCTTTTCTACAAAGGCCTACTCTTCTTTGAGAGCTCCTTTAGCACATTGATGGTCCAGTGGCCCCACTGACTGTTTGGCAGGCCTCCTACTTTTGATGTACTTAATTTTTTGTTAGTTTTTGTGTCCTTAGCTAGTTGCTCTTCAATATTTTTCTTGGCCTGCCTTATTATACTTTTACATTTGACCAGCTAGAGTTTATGCTCCTTTCTATCTTCCTCACTAAAATTTCACTTCCAATTTTTAAAGGATGCCAAACAATCCCCCAGCCTCCCCAGAACACACCAACTCAAAGCAGCACCAGACCCTGCCAGAACAAGAGATGCAAGACTTATAGACATTTTCCACTGCTACGATGATCAGCACCACACACAACACACCTTTGAAGATTCATGGGTCCTACACATGAGGTACAACATCTGGTGTACCTTGTCCAGTGCACTAAATGCCCCAAGAACAACTATGTGGGTGAAACTATACAACTCCTATGCTCTCAAATGAACTCTCACAGAAAAATGATAAAAAGATAAAACCACCATATTACCAGTGGGTGAATATTTTTCACAAAGCGATCACTCTATAGCTGATCTCTCATCCCTCATCCTCAAAGAAAAACTGCACAACTCCCTTGAAAGACAAGCCTGGGAGCTTAAATTCATAACTTTGCAAGATACTAAAATTCACCGACTGAATAGAGACACTGGATTTAGGACTTATTACAACAACCTGTAACCCACTAAGCTCCCCTACCACCCTCCTCCCACCATAACTGGAGATATGTTAACTCATCACTTCACCTTGAATGGTGCTTTGAAATACATGTTAACTACTCATATTAAACAATCTGTTCCACCTTGTATTTAGCCATGATACTGTGAGCACATTTCCCAGATCTGAAGAAGAGCTATGTGTAAACTCAAAAGCTTGTCTCTCTCACCAACAGAACTTGGTCCAGTAAAAGATATTACCTCACCCAATTTGTCCATTTAGACTTCTAGTATTTATATATAAGCCCTTACACATTTTATTACTATTCTGTTGCTTGCCTTCATGTGTTACAGTTAAATGGGACTCTTTTACATTTGACTGTTCTTCAATAGCACCTATCTGTACTTTATCAATTTCTTTCCTTTTTATGACAGGTTTCAGAGTAGCAGCAGTGTTAGCCCTGGTCTACACTAGGACTTTAGGTCGAATTTAGCAGCGTTAAATCGATTTAAACCTGCACCCGTCCACACAATGAAGCCCTTTATTTCGACTTAAAGGGCTTTTAAAATCGATTTCCTTACTCCACCCCTGACAAGTGGATTAGTGCTTAAATCGACGTTGCTGGCTCGAATTTGGGGTACTGTGGACACAATTTGATGGTATTGGCCTCCGGGAGCTATCCCAGAGTGTTCCATTCTGACCACTCTGGACAGCACTCTCAACTCAGATGCACTGGCCAGGTAGACAGGAAAAGAACCGCGAACTTTTGAATCTCATTTCCTGTTTGGCCAGCGTGGCAAGCTGCAGGTGACCATGCAGAGCTCATCAGCACAGGTGACCATGATGGAGTCCCAGAATCGCAAAAGAGCTCCAGCATGGACCGAATGGGAGGTACGGGATCTGATCGCTGTTTGGGGAGAGGAATCCGTGCTATCAGAACTCCGTTCCAGTTTTCAAAATGCCAAAACCTTTCTGAAAATCTCCCAGGGCATGAAGGACAGAGGCCATAACAGGGATCTGAAGCAGTGCCGCGTGAAACTGAAGGAGCTGAGGCAAGCCTACCAGAAAACCAGAGAGGCGAACAGCCGCTCTGGGTCAGAGCCCCAAACATGCCGCTTCTATGATGAGCTGCATGCCATTTTAGGGGGTTCAGCCACCACTACCCCAGCCATGTTGTTTGACTCCTTCAATGGAGATGGAGGCAATACGGAAGTAGGTTTTGGGGACGAAGAAGATGATGAGGAGGAGGAGGTTGTAGATAGCTCACAGCAAGCAAGCGGAGAAACCGGTTTTCCCGACAGCCAGGAACTGTTTCTCACCCTAGACCTGGAGCCAGTACCCCCCGAACCCACCCAAGGCTGCCTCCTGGACCCAGCAGGCAGAGAAGGGACCTCTGGTGAGTGTACCTTTTAAAATGCTATACATGGTTTAAAAGCAAGCATGTGAAAGGATTACTTTGCCCTGGCATTTGCGGTTCTCCTAGATGTAGTCCTAAAGCCTTTGCAAAAGGTTTCTGGGGAGGGCAGCCTTATTTCGTCCTTCATGGTAGGACACTTTACCACTCCAGGCCAGTAACACGTACTCGGGAATCACTGTAGAACAAAGCATTGCAGTGTATGTTTGCTGGCATTCAACCAAAATCCTTTCTTTATCTCTCTGTGTTATCCTCAGGAGAGTGAGATATAATTCACGGTCACCTGGTTGAAAAAGAGTGCTTTTCTTCAGGGGACACTCAGAGGAGCCCATTCCTGCTGGGCTGTTTGCCTGTGGCTAAACAGAAATGTTCCCCGCTGTTAGCCACAGGGAGGGGGGAAGGTTGAGGGGGTAGTCACGCGGTGGGAGGAGGCAAAATGCGACCTTGTAACGAAAGCACATGTGCTATGTATGTAATGTTAACAGCAAGGTTTACCCTGAAAGAGTGTAGCCACTGTTTTATAAAATGTGTCTTTTTAAATACCGCTTTCCCTTTTTTTTTCTCCACCAGCTGCATGTGTTTCAATGATCACAGGATCTTCTCCTTCCCAGAGGTGAGTGAAGCTTAGAAAGAAAAAAAAACGCACTCGCGATGAAATGTTCTCCGAGCTCATGCTGTCCTCCCACACTGACAGAGCACAGACGAATGTGTGGAGGCAAATAATGTCAGAGTGCAGGAAAGCACAAAATGACCGGGAGGAGAGGTGGAGGGCTGAAGAGAGTAAGTGGTGGGCTGAAGACAGGGCTGAAGCTCAAATGTGGCGGCAGCGTGATGAGAGGAGGCAGGATTCAATGCTGAGGCTGCTGCAGGACCAAACCAGTATGCTCCAGTGTATGGTTGAGCTGCAGCAAAGGCAGCTGGAGCACAGACTGCCACTGCTGCCCCTCTGTAACCAACCGCCCTCCTCCCCAAGTTCCATAGTCTCCACACCCAGACGCCCAAGAACGCGGTGGGGGGGCCTCCGGCCAACCAGCCACTCCACCACAGAGGATTGCCCAAAAAAAAGAAGGCTGGCATTCAATAAATTTTAAAGTTGTAAACTTTTAAAGTGCTGTGCTTAAAGTGCTGTGTGGCATTTTCCTTCCCTCCTCCACCACCCCTCCTGGGATACCTTGGTAGTCATCTCCCTGTTTGTGTGATGAATGAATAACGAATGCATGACTGTGAAGCAGCAATGACTTTATTGCCTCTGCAAGCAATGATTAAAGGGAGGAGGGGAGGGTGGTTAGCTTACAGGGAAGTAGAGTGAACCAAGGGGCGGGGGTTTCATCAAGGAGAAACAAACAGAACTTTCACACCGTAGCCTGGCCAGTCATGAAACTGGTTTTCAAAGCTTCTCTGATGCGTACCGCGCCCTCCTGTGCTCTTCTAACCGCCCTGGTGTCTGGCTGCGCGTAACCAGCAGCCAGGCGATTTGCCTCAACCTCCCACCCCGCCATAAACGTCTCCCCCTTACTCTCACAGATATTGTGGAGCACACAGCAAGCAGTAATAACAGTGGGAATATTGGTTTCGCTGAGGTCTAAGCGAGTCAGTAAACTGCGCCAGCGCCTTTAAACGTCCAAATGCACATTCTACCACCATTCTGCACTTGCTCAGCCTGTAGTTGAACAGCTCCTGACTACTGTCCAGGCTGCCTGTGTACGGCTTCATGAGCCATGGCATTAAGGGGTAGGCTGGGTCCCCAAGGATACATATAGGCATTTCAACATTCCCAACAGTTATTTTCTGGTCTGGGAATAAAGTCCCTTCCTGCAGCTTTTGAAACAGACCAGAGTTCCTGAAGATGCGAGCATCATGCACCTTTCCCGGCCATCCCACGTTGATGTTGGTGAAACGTCCCTTGTGATCCACCAGAGCTTGCAGCACTATCGAAAAGTACCCCTTGCGGTTTATGTACTCGGCGGCTTGGTGCTCCGGTGCCAAGATAGGGATATGGGTTCCGTCTATGGTCCCAACACAGTTATGGAATCCCATTGCAGCAAAGCCATCCACTATGACCTGCACATTTCCCAGGGTCACTACCCTTGATATCAGCAGATCTTTGATTGCGTGGGCTACTTGCATCACAGCAGCCCCCACAGTAGATTTGCCCACTCCAAATTGATTCCCAACTGACCGGTAGCTGTCTGGCGTTGCAAGCTTCCACAGGGCTATCGCCACTCGCTTCTCAACTGTGAGAGCTGCTCTCATCTTGGTATTCATGCGCTTCAGGGCAGGGGAAAGCAAGTCACAAAGTTCCATGAAAGTGCCCCTACGCATGCGAAAGTTTCGCAGCCACTGGGAATCGTCCCAGACTCGCAACACTATGCGGTCCCACCAGTCTGTGCTTGTTTCCCGAGCCCAGAATCGGCGTTCCACAGCATGAACCTGCCCCATTAGCACCATGATGCATGCATTGGCAGGGCCCATGCTTTCAGAGAAATCTGTGTCCATGTCCTGATCACTCACGGGACCGCGCTGACGTCGCCTCCTCGCCCGGTATCGCGTTGCCATGTTCTGGTGCTGCATATACTGCTGGATAATGCGTGTGGTGGTTAATGTGCTCCTAATTGCCAAAGTGAGCTGAGCGGCCTCCATGCTTGCCTTGGTATGGCGTCCGCACAGAAAAAAGGCGCGGAACGATTGTCTGCCGTTGCTCTGATGGAGGGAGGGGCGACTGACGACACGGCTTACAGGGTTGGCTTCAGGGAGCTAAAATCAACAAAGGGTGTGCCTGTACATCAAGGAGTATTTCAGGCAGGACTGCACGGAGGGTTCCAATAAGAAATGGTGCACCTAAGTTATCGTTGTTATTGGAACAAGGAGGTTAGCCTGGCCTCTGATTGATACATGGCTAGATTTACCTCGCTGCACCTTCTCTGTGAGTGACTGCAGTGTGATCTAGACAGGGGAGGAGGCAAATGAGTACAAAACAAATCTGGTCTATTTCTTGTTCTGACCCACTCCATCTATCTTTTACATCTTTGGCTGGCAGCAGACGGTGCAGAAGGACTGCATGCCATCCACATCTCATGGCTGCTCGGCAGAAGATGGTACAGTACGACTGCTAGCCATCTTCATCTCTTGCCTGCCTGGCATAAGATGGTACAATACGACTGCTAGCAATCCTCATCTCTTGCCTGCCTGGCAGAAGATGGTACAGTACGACTGCTAGCAGTCCGTATCACCTGCCCGCTCACCATAAGACGGTTCAATAGGACTGACTGCAGGACTAAAGAGAATGACCTGGTCAAGTCACTCCAAATTTAGTCCCTGCGCCCATGTCTGCCCAGGCGCTCCCAGCCGACGTGGCCAGGAGCACCTCGGACACGACGAGGACGACTACCAATCTTATTGCACCGTCTGCTGCCAGAAGGCAATGGGTTGCTGCTACTGTGCAGCAAAGCCGTACCGCGTCTGCCAGCACCCAGGAGACATAGGGTGACGGTTACCTGAGCTGGCTCCATGCTTGCCGTGGTATGGCGTCTGCACAGGTAACTCAGGAAAAAAGGCGCGAAATGATTGTCTGCCTTTGCTTTCACGGAGGGAGGGAGGGAATGGGGGCCTGACGACACGTACCCAGAACCACCCGCGACAATGTTTTAGCCCCATCAGAGTGCTCCATTGTGACTGCTCTGGACAGCACTCTCAGATGCCCGATTGTTTGCCATTGCTCTGACGCTGGGAGGGGCGCTTACAGGGTTGGCTTCAGGGAGCTAAAATCAACAAAGGGGGTGGCTTTACATCAAGGAGTATTTCAGGCAGGACTTCACGGAGGGTTCCAATAAGAAATGGTGCACCTAAGTTATTGTCCTTATTGGAACAAGAAGGTTAGCCTGGCCTCTGATTGATACATGGCTAGATTTACCTCGCTGCACCTTCTCTGTAAGTGACTGCAGTGTGATCTAGAAGAATGAGTCCCCTAGACAGGGGAGGGGGGGAAGCAAATGAGTACAAAACAAATCTGGTCTATTTCTTGTTTTGATCCACTCCATCTATCTTTTACATCTTTGGCTGGCAGCAGACGGTGCAGAAGGACTGCATGCCATCCACATCTCATGGCTGCTCGGCAGAAGATGGTACAGTACGACTGCTAGCAGTCCGTATCGCCTGCCCGCTCACCATAAGACGGTTCAATAGGACTGACTGCAGGACTAAAGAGAATGACCTGCTCAAGTCACTCCAAATTTAGTCCCTGAGCCCATGTCTGCCCAGGCGCTCCTGATCGACCTCACAGAGGCGACCAGGAGCACCTCAGACATGACGATGACGGCTACCAGTCGTACTGTACCGTCTGCTGTCACAAGGCAAGGGGTTGCTGCTACTGTGTAGCAATGCCGTACCGCGTCTGCCAGCACCCAGGAGACATAGGGTGACGGTTACCTGAGCGGGCTCCATGCTTGCCGTGGTATGGCGTCTGCACAGGTAACTCAGGAAAAAAGGCGCGAAATGATTGTCTGCCCTTGCTTTCACGGGGGGAGGGAGGGAACGGGGGCCTGACAATATGTACCCAGAACCACCCGCGACAATGTTTTAGCCCCATCAGGCATTGGGATCTCAACCCAGAATTCCAATGGGCAGCGGAGACTGCGGGAACTGTGGGATAGCTACCTACAGTGCAACGCTCCGGAAGTCGACGCTTGCCTCGGTACTGTGGAAGAGCTCCGCCGAGTTAATGCACTTAATGCACTGAGAGCATTTTCTGTGGGGACACACACACTCGAATATATAAAACCGATTTCTAAAAAACCGACTTCTATAAATTCGACCTAATTTCGTAGTGTAGACATACCCTTAGGCTGTATTCGCAAAAAGAAAAGGAGTACTTGTGGAACCTTAGAGACTAACAAATTTATTTGAGCATAAGGCATTTTCCACTGAATGCATCCGATGAAGTGAGCTGTAGCTCATGAAAGCTAATGCTCAAATGAATGTGTTAGTCTCTAAGGTGCCACAAGTACTCCTTTTCTTTTTCCTTTTCATGAGGATATACAGTTCCGCCCTTAATAAATTCATCCATAGGGGATATGTCTGCTCAAATTGTGTGCTCCTCCACACCTTGCCCATTTAAAATATAGGCAGAACTTTCTTGCAATGACCTTTAGGGCGAAAGACACAAGGAGTTTCCTGGTATTTTACACAGGGGTGTTATTTAGATGCTTTTCATAATCTAAGAACCCTTCCACCCAGGTCGTGGATAGTGGAACCATGCTTGTGTCATTCGAACTTGTCAAGAAGCTTTTGTAGAGCTAAAGTCCTGTGTGGTCATTTTTCCCGTGTTAGCTTATTTGGAACCAAACAGTAAGAGGAATGGGAGTGAGAGGTGGATGGCAGGTCCTACTTGTCCCAAGTGATACAAGGCAAAGAAAAGATATATGTTTATATCACAAAGCTTCTATCTGTCCAGAGAAGTACAGCATATACCCCCCCACACACACAAACATGCAAAATAAACTGCTAGCTGTACTGACCTTTATGAGACACTTCATGCATTATCTCTTGGGGAAATGGTTTACCCTGAGGATGTAGCACACATCCCTGAGGAGACTGCAGAATTTTCAGCATCCACAAGGACAGCTGGCTTCATGGTTAGCGCAGCTATCTCATTTGAATTATAAAATTGTGTATTGCCCAGGGAAAGCATATCATCATATTAATCAATTCACAGGAGAAATCCAGGTGTGACAGATCACTCTGGCCAGATATACGAGTTATAATCTTATGAGCCAATACGTTATAAAAAATTTGTTTTTAATTTCTGTATGGCTTCTATCTAAAGAGCTGTCATACTATAAGGGCTCAGCAAAATCTTAGCTCTTTGTTAAATTTTCAATAGTAAGTAAAGTATTGCAATTGTGCAGCGGTGGTTAGCCATGTTGGACCCAGGATATTGTATTGTATGTGCACTTTGCAAGCTTTTCAAACATGGTTTACCAGAAGTTTGTCACGTTTGAAGATATCTGATTTAGAAGTAACAGACACTTGTCCTCACTGAGAACGAAGTCATTGAGAAGTAGGACATTTTTAAAATTAGCTGCTTTGGAGTTATCTGATCACAAAGAGCTTCTGAAAAAAACACTTATTTAGAATACTGAGATATGGGATCACTGAAAAAACCGCCAAACAGAGTTTTATAAAACTTCCCTGAAACATCCAT